TTTTTTGAGACAGGGTTCTCTGTGTAGCTTTGCGCCTTTCCTGGAACTCGCTTTGGAGACCAGGCTGGCCTCAAACTCACAGCGATCCGCCTGGCTCTGCCTCCCGAGTGCTGGGATTAAAGGCGTGCGCCACCACCGCCCAGCTCGGTTCCTTCTTATAAAGACAGTTGTTCTCAACTTTCCTAAGGCTGTGACACTTTAATTCCTCATGTTGTGGTGACCCCCAACCCTAAAATTATTTTGTTGTTATGTCAGAACCGTAATTTTGCTACTGTTATGAATCGTAATGTAAATATCTGATATGTAGGATAACCGACATGAGACTCCCAAGGGGGTCACGACTCACAGGTTGAGAACCATTGCTATAGGCATTGGCCAGAAACCGACGTAAACCCACACCTACAAAATCTCCTTGTTTAACCAGTGTGCCACATGCACACAGTCTCTGTCTTCCTGAAATATGCCATTCAGAATCCTGGGACACACTCGAGCAAAACTGAAGAATAAATATTGGTGCCTACAAGAAAAGATTAGTGCCTACCACCTAGATCCACCTGCCCAGCATGGCACCGCCCACAGTGGGCTGGTCCCTTCTACATCAGTTAGCAATTGAGAAAATGCTCAACAGATGTGCCCACTGGCCAGTCTGATTGGAGGCCAATCCCTCCACTCAGGTTCCCTCTTCCCCAGTGTATCAGGTGGAAACCAAGATCAGATATTACATAGGCTAAATCAATAGGAGAAAAATAATCGGTGAGCTTAAAAAAAAAAAAAAAAAGAGCAAAATATTTTCGATTGAGAATAACCAAAATGGTAGAAAGCTTATTCAGCAAAATAATAACAGAAATGCTCCATCATGAATTTATAATTATTTCTTGACTAGTGGAAAATGAGAGTCACTGTGATTTTGTGAAGCTCCGGGATTTGCTTCTGTCTACTAACATGGAGGATCTGAAAGACCAAACCCACACTCAACATTATGAGTGTTATAGGAGAAACAGACTGCAGAAACTTGGTTTCAACGACACAGGCCGCAACAATCAGCCAGTGAGGTGAGCGAAGACATTGTTATCGGGGTGGAGAGATGGCTCAGTGGTTAGTTCGGAGTGCTTGCCGCTCTTGCGGAGGACGCGGCTCACTGGCCCTTTGTTAGCGTTTGTTTGTTTGTTTGTTTGTTTTTGTTTATTTTTTAAATACGAGAATAACCAACTTTCGCTTTTAGTTTCCAAGAGATGTATGAAGCCAAGAGAAAAGAGTTCCAGGCCCAGTGTCAGAGGGAGGAGGAGGAACTGAAGCACATGTTTATGCAGCGAGTCAAGGAGAAGGAGCTGACCTTTAAGGATGCTGAAAAGGAGGCATGTGTGACCAATCTCACGTCCTTTCTCTGTGTCCTTTTCTTTGGGGGATGGACTCTAGTAGATTCTTGTTTTGGAAGAAACTTTCTAAAAGTAGCTATTCGTACATGGGATCTTCCCCTCCCCACCCTCCCCGACAGGGTTTCTCTGTGTAGTTTTGATGCCTGTCCTGGATCTTGTTCTGTGGACCAGGCTGGTTTCAAACTCACAGAGATCCGCCTGACTCTGCTTCCCAAGTGCTGGGATTAAAGGCGTGCACCACCACCGCCCAGCCCATACATGGGGTCTTAATGTAGCATTTATGAAATTAGAGGCTAAAATTATATTTTTTTTTCCCCCAGAGCATTTTGAGAGTTTGTCTTTTAAATGCCCTGTGTCTCTGACCTCATCCATCAGGGACTGACCTTTCAGTTCACCCAGCGCCTCTTCTGCTTACAGCTCTCCCAACATGGAGTTGTGTGCTGGGAACCCTACAGGGCATCTTGGGGGCTGCCCCATCTCCATAATTCCACTAGGCATTGTCCTAAGTGGAGTCCCTCTCGAGTAGCTATGATCCTGTAACAGGGCCCCCGGGGCACCTATGGTATCTTTTGAACTCTATGTGGAGACATCTTGGCCTCAACAGTTCTTACCTTGTACATGCCCACAGAATTAGCATCACGTGGTAGAACCCAAGACTTAGAATTTGTACCTTCTAGAGCATCAGACGGAACCATACCCATTCCCACTTGATATTGCCTGGGGTGACTAGGAGTACTGTGACAATTCACTCCAGTGAATCCTGAGGCCACCCGGACACCTGTCCAGATAGTTTGCCTCAAGGACCTCCCAACCCCCTCTGGGCCATTCCCCATTGTATTCATGAATAAAACTGATTCCTAACTATATTAATCTCTTTAGCAAAGGGTTGCTTGCACATATCTTGAGCATTCTTTTGAAAACTTCCTTATATTGTAATTTCAGTTTTCAATAATTTTGATATTTCCACTTAGTTATGAATTCAACCTTGAGTTTTGTCTTTGTTTTTCCAGACAGGGTTTCTCTGTGTAGCCCTGGTTGTCCTGGAACTCACCCCATAGACCAGGCTGGCCTTGAACTCAGAGATCTGCCTGCCTCTGCCTCTCAAGTGCTGGGCTCAGTGGCATGTGCCCCCACCGCCTGGCTTCAGTCTTTAGTTTCTGTTCTCTCTTTTTACTATATGCAGTTTTATAAAAAGCCACACCACACCTTGAGTGCTCTGCTGATTAACTATCTCTTTGCCACATACCGTAACTCTAAAGCTTGTGTTCACTAAAGCCCTTGACCCCAGAAACAGTTCATCTAAGTTCCTTCCCATGGTGGGAGGAGGATGGGCTTTTGTTTAGTTTCCAATACCTTGTCCTGCAGTTTTGAGACCTCACCACCAAGTCCTTTGCTGTACATGTTTCCAATGACATTCTGATGGTGACCAATTAAGTACCCCCCCACACACACACACACACTCACATTGTGGCATGTGCTTTTACCTCACCCCACCTGGAATAAATCAATAAGTGTAATCTTTATTTTTCACAAATTAGGGGAATTTAGTTTTGCACTAACTCTCTATATTAGATTTTAATGCACAAGACCACGCCAGAAGGGAATCACCCATGCTAAATGACGTATAATCAAATGAAGCTTCAAAACGGACCAGTTTGGGGCCAGCAAGGTGTCTCAGGAGGTCAGGGTGTTTGCCACTCAGCCTGAAGACCTGAGTTAGATCCTGGAACCTCCATGGTGGAAAAGAGAGAAGGAACAACAGACAAAAATCTCAAGAGAATATAGTCAATTGAGCTAGTGTAGTAAAACGTCGCTTAAAACCTCTAAGAAAAGCAACTTTCCAGCCCCGGTCTGCATTTGGCTCCCATTTCCGCCTTTTGTAGCCTTCTTCTGCCTTTAACTCCCTCTTTGTTTGTCTCCTTGGCACCCTCATATTTCATCTAATATAATAATATAACAATATAAATATGCCGGGTGGTGGTGGTGCATGCCTTTAATCCCGAAACTCAGGAGGCAGAGCCAGGTGGATCTCTGTGAGTTCGAGGCCAGCCTGGTCTACAGAGCGAGATCCAGGACAGGCACCAAAACAACACAGAGAAATCCTGTCTTGAAAAAACCAAATATATATATAATAGGCTTAGACTGGTCCACTGCCCACCTCTAGAAACAGAAATAGACACCAATTATACTACGAAGTTTAGGTTTTGTATTTTTATCTTTTGACAGTCTTGGGCTACTCCAAAGGTGACTGATAACAACTTCTAAACCTTTAGGAGAACAGGAGTGGTACCCTTGACCCTTTTTTGTTGGTTTGTTTCTAGATAGGGTCTCTCTGTGTAGCCTTGGCTGTCCTGGATCTCGCTCTGTAGACCAGGCTGGCTTTGAACTCACAGAGCTCACCTGCTTCTGCTTCCCCAGTGCTGGGATAATAGGCGTTTGCCACCACCCCCTGGTCCTGGACCCTTTTTAAGGGCTTCCGAGGACTTTAAATAAGTTTTTCTCGGGTCATACTCCGCCTTTTGGATATTGTGAATCTTTGTGACTCAGAGTGGCTTCTTTTTTTTTTTTTTTTTTTTAATAGCTGCAGGACAAATTTGAACATCTGAAGAGAATCCAACAAGAGGAGATCCTGAAGTTGGAAGAAGAGAGACGAAAGTTAGAAGAGCAAATCATCGATTTTTACAGGATGAGGGCTGCCTCGGATCCGCCACAGACTCCGGCGTGCACCAATGTGAAGAAGGACAAAGATCGTAAGAAATGATCTTTTCCTGCCATTATGGCTGATTCAGAGTCCCGTTATCCTCAATGCGTATACCTGTGAGCTTGTCTTCATAGCACTTTAACTTTGTGGTGGAAGTCTAATGTTTTCAAAAGTTATTTAACACATGTCATTCTGCACTGGAGTGTCAGATTCTTGGGAGGAAGATGCCTTGTGTGTCTTGATGGTGCAACATAGACTAGCACTCCACAGTACCCAGTAAATATTTTATTAATCAACATAGCCAAGAAGTACATAGCATAGTATAAAACAGGTATGCTCAGACAAGAGGACATTCTTTTAGCGTAGATGTGCCTTTGACCCCAGTAGTGATTTTTACAACTTCTGTCTCTTGAGAGTTTTTACTTTGCATGTTTTTTTTTTTCTTTCCCCGAGACAGGGTCTCACTATGTAGCCCTAGCTGTCCTGAAACTCTTGGTGTTGATCAGTCTGCCCTTGAACAGCGATCCTCCTGCTTCTGTCTCCCAAGTGCTGGGATTGTAAGCATAAACCACCCTGTCTAGCTCTACTGACTTTTCTTGAGGATGCATAGTCATCAAGTATTGTTATAAAAGGTAAAATTATTGGTTATTCCCAAATTCTATTTTTAGCAATCCTTGATAATGTTAATTGCTATGAAGCATCATGTTTTGATTAGAACTCCTATGCTTTGGTGTCAAACTTGCAGAAGTATAAAATGAAAGATTCAAAATCTAGATAGCAATAGACTATGGTGAGAACAGTAAGTCTTAAAGATTTTGGCTATATTGCTAAAAAGTTATTAAAGTGTACAGTATGGGATGTGCTTTTTTTCTTCGGTTTTTAAAAACTCCCTTCTGATTTTATATACTAAGGGCTTTTTAAAATTTAATTTTTTTTTTTGAGACAGGGTTTCTCTGTGTAGCTTTGGTGCCTTTCCTGGAACTCACTTTGTAGACCAGGCTGGCCTCGAACTCACAGAGATCCACCTGCCTCTGCCTCCCGAGTGCCAGGATTAAAGGCGTGCACCACCACTGCCCGGCTAAAATTTAAAATATTTTTATCAGTTACTTATTTGGTGTTCTGGTTGTGAGCCTAGCTCTCTCTCCAGCCCCAGTTCCTTATCTGAATGTGGTTGATCTTCACCAGGACTCACTCTATTACAACGCAACATTTGAGGGACTTTGCCACTGTGTACTTCAACCACACTGGGATCAACTCTTTCTTGATAGTCCTGAGTAAAGTACAGTTCTAATGGAATTTTAATATTGTCTCCATTTCAAATGCAGCATTTAAGGCTATCACTATATATACTCAAAAATACTTTATAATTTATACTTACAATTTCTTCATGGAAAAGTTTTATGTGAAAAGGGATGAGAGAGAGAAACAAATCCACAATTAGTTTTATATATGTTGGTAAGTCATCTTACAAATGGGATGAGAAAGAAATATAATACATGGATAATGTAGTGGCAACTATGTAAGAACAAAGATCTTTGTTCTGATCATTTATCTAATTTATATATTCATTCCTAGGCTTAGGACAATTTTTAATGCACAGTAGATACTATTAGTTGAATAAATAATTCCAGTAGTAGTGTGTTACCTGTGTTATATGCATGAATAGTTTAATTTAGATAATTGACTTTTTTTTTTTTTTGAGAAGGGTTTCTCTGTGTATCCCTAGCTATCCTGGAACTCACTCTGTAGAGCAGGCTGGCCTCGAATTCCACATGCTTTTGACTCCCAAGTGCTGCAATTAAAGGTATACACCATCACTGCCCAGTTAGATAATTGATTTTCAAACATAATATAGTGTCTTACTGCTTTTCAACATAACTGTGAATTATATCGCTGAAATGCTTTTATATTACCATTCTTTAATCTTAATTTAGGGTTTGTAAAATTGGAACCGAGATAACGTTATACAATAGATTAAATCAATAAAATTCATGTTGTGTGTTGTTTTTCCTCTTATGAAATTACTTTATATAGGTAGCTTAAAGGAGAAATCTCTGTTTGAACTCATGGTTCCAGGGGTCCAGTGTATTGTGGTTGGGAAGGAATTCAGGACAGCTCAGTTTATATCATGGTAGATTGGGGTAGAGATCAAGACAGAAAGTAGCTAAGATACACTTCCAGTGACCAACTTTTTCTAGTTTCACATTTTCTAAAGCTTCCTTAACCTCCCCAAATGACATCACCGAGTCCCAAACATTAAAAACATGAACACAGAGGGGAAATTTCAGATTCAAGACGCAACATTCTGTCAGTGGACCAAAATGGTATGGCTATCTCATAATACAAGATGGATTTACTCCATTTACAAAAGTCCTCAAACTGTATCAGTTCTCACACTTTCTCCAAGTCTAAGTCCAAAGTATCTTGTGTCTGAAAACAAACTCCTAGCTGTGATCCCTTGTAAAATAAAATTAATTAAAAAAACCCCAAAATTTTGAATATCCAAGATAAAATACCAGAAATCAAACCTCTTTAAAGAGAGGAGTTGGGAGCACAGGTAGAGGAGGGGTTGGACCAAACCAAGACTGAAACCCAGCAGGGAAATCTCCATGTTGAGCATCCGGGCCACATGTTGGTATCATCTGCGCTCCAGTGGGTGTGGGTAGCCTCATCTCTGTGGCCTCTCTCTTAGACTGGCTTCATTTATTCTGCATTCTGTACCTTTGCTCAAAAAACCTTTCTTTCTTTTTTTTTTAAATGAATCTTTTTTAAAAAAATATTTATTTATTATGTATACAGCATGTATGACTGCACGCCAGAAGAGGGCACCAGATCTCACTACAGATGGCTGTGAGCCACCATGTGGTTCCTGGGAATTGAACTCAGGACCTCTGGAAGAGCAGTCAGTGCTCTCAACCTCTGAGCCATCTCTCCAGTCCCCCGGAAACATTTCTTGTTTCCAGCATCTTCAGCGTTGATGTTTTGAAGCATTAGCCCTTGCTTTCCTTGTGACAGGGTCTCATGATGTATCCTTGGGTGGCCTGAAACTTGTTATGTAGACCAGGTTGGTCTCAAAAGTAAAAAGTACAGACATCTACCGGGCTCTGCCTCCCACGTGCTGGGATTAGTGCATTCCTCCCAATGCTCGGTTTTTAGCTTCATTCTTGCAGCTTCATTCACTGTCCTCTTCTGTAGTCAGTTTGACCTTGGTACACATTGCCTGGGTTCTAAGCCCTTTCTTAAAAATCCTGGTGGGAGTTGTAGTGACCCTGCATATCTGCAAAACTAGCACCACGTGAATGATGTCATAGTCAACCACCAGATGGAGCAGTAGAGTTCACTCTTGGAGTATTGTTATAACAACTTCTAAGTGCGTAGGAACCTGAACCCAGGAAAACGCTACTTTGGGTGGTCTTGTGGTAGCAGGGTACCTGAGTGGCACTCTCTTCTCAAAGAAAAGACTTTCAAATGAGTTTACGATGTGAGATCCTGGATCCTAAGGTAGGTGGCATTTGGCCAATTTCCTATTGTCCCATGCAAAGTACTTGGTTCCTCTTTAACAGGTACAAATTTCCTTAACAATAAAAATTTCATATACATGACTTTTAATTCAAACCTTTTCTAGCCAGGAACCATGTTTTGCAAATCATTATGCTCTGTTTGTTTTTTCTTCTAATTCTCACTGTCCACCTGACTAAAAGTGGTCGTCAATAATCATGCCACATTTGTATGTTACCCTGTCTTGAAATTTCCTCTGGCAAATTTAATTAGTCTAACACCTTTAAACTCAGCCCCTCACAAAGTTTCAGAATGTGAACAAGATATATACAAACTCTTTCCCAGTTGTTATGATAAATGGCCTTTGGTCCAATTCCCAATAAAATTCTCCTCCCTTCTGAAATCTCATGAGCAATCTTTACTACAGATATTCTGGTTGTATTACTTACTTTTCTGTTACTGTGATAAAATACCACAAGCAAGGCATCTTATAGAAGGAAGAGTTTATTTGCACTTACATTTTCAGAGGAATAAGATTCCATCAGGGTAAGGCAGCAAGCAGATATGGCGTCTGGAGCAGGAAGCTGAGGAATCACATCCTCAACCTCAATGCCAAAGCAAGAGAGAACGAACTGGATGTAGTGTGAGGCTATGACCTTCAAAGCCCACCCCCTGACATACTTCCTCCAGCAAGGCTGCACCACCTCCCCAAATGGTACTGCCAACTGGGAATGAAGTGTTCAAATGCTCCAGCCTACAGGGGATGTTTTGTATTCAAACCACCGCACTGGTCTTCTGAGTTCCTGGCAAAGTCATCTATTAAACATTCTAGGGCTTCATCTATTAAGCATTCTAGACTACAGCTCGGAATTCTTCCAAATGCCTTCTTCAAGCTAGTTCAAAGGGCCTAAAAGCCTCATGGTCAGGCTTAGTCACGACAACCACACTTCTCTGGTACCAGTTTCCTTTATCGGTCCCTGTCTTTGTTACTGTTCTGCTGCTGTGATAAAATGCCATTGTCTGGGAATGAAGGAAGGAAGAATTTATTTGGGCTTAAGGTTCCAGAGGAATAAGAGTCCATCATCCACGGGGGGTGGGGGGGCTGGGGTGGGGGGGGTGAGGTGGCAATCAGGCATGGCAACTGGAACTGATCACTAAGGGCTTATTATCTATCCACAAACAGGAAACAGGGAGCATCAACTCACAATGGCACATGCCATGAAACTCGGAACACTCGGCATGCTTCTTCTAGCAAGGTCACATTTCCTAGGTCACGCTCCTAGCTTGAGCCACGTTTCCCTAACTGGGGACCAAGCATTCAAATGCCAGACTATGGGGGACATGGTTCATTTAAGCCACTGTACTACAGACCCACATATGTACAAACCTCCCTTCTCCATCACTGTAGACAACTTGACACAACTTACAAGAATAAAGATTTTGATAACGGTTTTAAATAATTCGGTCTTTCATGATGTGGAAAGTATGGTAAAGCAGTCCAGCTCAAACCATGGAAGGCTGGAAACAGGGATATGCCAGGGATGATACCCTCCAGAGGTTCCCTCCTTAGTCACCTACCTCTTCCAGCTAGCCTCTACCATCTGACGTTTCCAGCATGCCCCAACATAGCACCACAAAACAGAGAACAATCCTTCAAAACATTACCTGTTGAGGACATTGCCTATCCAATCCACAGTGCTGTATAAAAATTATCACTCTGCTACATTCCCATTACTTCATTAAGTTAACATGTACACAAAAGATACACATGTGTGTGTTTATATCAATCCACATGCTTTGGCCTGGTTGCATGTATGTACATGTTAGGTTATATGTATAGGTGCTTGTGAGTTCTCATTCTCCATGAGTGTATGCATATGTAAGGTTATGTGTGTTCACATGTGCATGCAAATGCTTTAGGACCCTGAGAGCATCATCCAGGCTGGGAGCAACAGTAGCAGGGAGAGAGATTCTAGTGCACATCTCTTCTCCAGTTGGGTTGAAGAGGCCAGCACCCAGGTACCTGGGGTCTATTGCCTGAGAATGGGAAGTCCCTGCATCAGGACATAGAGATTGGTAAGCAACAATCTAGGCTGACTATTGGTTTGGTATTATAATTGGGTAGATTGTACAGTGGATAATTACCAGGTTATTTCCTTTTTTTAAATTTTTATGTGTGATGATATTTTACTTGCGCTTTAACAAATAAATCTTGCCTGAAGATCAGAGTGTGGAGCTGGCCACTAGAGGCCAGGCAGTGATGGCGCACACTTTTAGTCCCAGCACTTGGGAGGAGGAAACAGGAAGTAATACATCTGGGCAGAGAGAGGAAGTGTTAAGACTTGGTGGAGACAGGAGCTCAGCCCTTTTAGGCAGAGGATTCGGTAGAGGTAAGAAGTCTTTCTAGTGGCTGGCTGCTCTGCTTCTCTGATCTTTCAGCATTTACTCTGATATCTGGCTCCTGGTTTTTATTATTAAGACCAATTAGAATTGGTGCTATATCTGGCGTCCAACTTGTGGGGCACAAATTCACTAAAAAG